CCCGATCACCGCCCGAGCTCCTTCGAGAGAGGCAAGCCCCGGAGCATTTTCCTCCCGGTTTGCAATGATTTAATTAAATGCTTTACTTTAATTGATGCATTACGTTCAGGAGTTGTTTGCAACCGTTGCTGCATTATACCTTGTTTACCTTTGTTATACTATATCCTTGTTACCCTGGTATCCGCAGTCGAGTCAATGCTTAGCTGGCTTAGACCGGTAGAAGTCGGGTGATTTCCTGTCACCTGCGAGCTATAGGTGGTTACCTGGATCTGCTTGGATGACTATGAAGTCATGGTATAACTAAGTGTTAAATGAAGTTGAGACCGGACGGAGACTTGCAGAGTTTTGGACTGTAGTGTTTCCGTCTGTGTCGATTAAGGACCGACCGTTGTTGGGCCTCGAGTCATGTTGAACGCATGCCTTACATTTAGCTGGCCGGATAAAGTATCTTCCGACCGCGAAGCTGGGAGATTTTTTGGGCCGAGTGGATTGCCCGCAGCGCACTGTGCCGAAGCAGGTGTGGTAGGACACGGGGGCGGGATGATAAGGCCAAAGTGCAGTCGGTCGGCCCCCGGGTACATGTGGTTCCTGGCAAACTCGAGATTCCTGGAAAGTTGACTCGGTGATCAATATCTCACTTTAGCGGGTGAGTGAGGTTTGTGTAAGGAACAAATCACCAGCTGGTTAGGAATCGATTCGAATCGCCATCGCTCCTGGATAGTGAGCACTTGACTTGAGTTACTTCATCGTAGTAAATGTTATGAAACACTTGGACAGTTATAATGAATATGACAGTATGGAAGTTGCTTAATGATCATTGATTATCATTATCTGCTTAATCACATGTTTACTCTAGTATAGGTGCAAATCTAGTTGACAGGTTAATAATAATTAACTTGGCAATAATGCTTTTAGAAAGGTTCTTGAAATACTAAAAATGCTTCTTTTTGCAAATGAGTCAGCTACCCTACTATAAAGCCCTTCATAATCCTTGGTGTCATTTATTTTCGGTTATGTCGGGTAAGTCTGGCTGAGTACATTCTCGTACTCAGGGTTTTATTCCCACTTGTTGCAGATGGGCAGATGTACTATGGCTACTGTATCAACTGCCTGTATCCTGCGATGGGTGATGCTTAGGACCATGGGCATGGTCATTCCTTACGTCTCGTCTAATGCTTTTGTTGGAGATGATCATCAGCTGGCACTATATTTGAACTCCGTGTGAGTGTGTGTGGTTTTAAACAAATGACTTCCGCTACTTTTATTCGAACTTGTTTTGTAATAACTATGTTTAAACTCTGATGTATCTGTTATGCAAACTTTTATGTAATATGTGATTGGTGACCGCTAAACTTATTACGATCATGGCTGGGACACGAGTTGGTTTGAAATCCTTCGTGATTTCACGGACTACCGGGTTATACGGGCTTAAGTTTGCTCAATCGTCTGCTCTGGTGGATGATTTTCTTACTTAATTTCGTATAATTGGTCGGTTCTGTTACAATACCGCCATGTCGAGGAAGGAGCCAATCAATCACAAGAATGAATACCAATGAAGACCAATCACCTCGGAATCAAATAATGAACACAATGATTTTTACCGAGGTTCACTTGCTTGCCGGCAAGCTACTCCTCGTTGTGGTGATTCACTCACTTGGAGGTTCACGCATTAATTGGCATCACACGCCAAACCCTCAATAGAGTGCCGCACAACCAACACAAGATGAGGATCACACAATCCACGAGCAATCCACTAGAGTACCTTTTGGCTCTCCGCCGGGGAAAGGTCAAGAACACCTCACAATCACCACGATCGGAGCCGGAGACAATCACCAACCTCCGCTCGATGATCCTCGCTGCTTCAAGCCATCTAGGTAGCAGCAACCACCAAGAGTAACAAGTGAATCCCGCAGCGAAACACGAACACCAAGTGCCTCTAGATGCAAACACTCAAGCAATGCACTTGGATTCTCTCCCAATCTCACAAAGATGATGAATCAATGATGGAGATGAGTGGGAGGGCTTTGGCTAAGCTCACAAGGTTGTTATGTCTATGCAAATGGCCAAGAGAGGGAGCTTGAGCCGGCCATGGGGCTTAAATAGAAGCCCCCACGAAATAGAGTCGTTGTACCTCTTCACTGGGCACAACACGGGGGTGACCGGACGCTCCGGTCATATCGACCGGATGTTGGACCCCAGCGTCCGGTCGTGCGATGTATGCCACGTGTCCCCTCTCTTCAAATACTGAACGCCCGATCCCAACGGTCAAGTGATGACTGGACGCGTTGCTGCGAAGTGACCGGACGCTGAACCACAGCATCCGGTCGTTTCCAGTAAGCATCCAGAAACGAGAAATCACGACCGAACGCGTCCGATCATGCTCGACCGGACTCACCCAGCGTCCGGTCACTCGGCGTCTCCTCTGTGCGCTGCCACGTCAATAGGACCAGACGCAACCTCCAGCGTCCGGTCACTAAGTGACCCAGCGTCCGGTCAGAGACCGATGCCAGCGTCTTCATAGCTTCTACTGACCGGACGCGCCGGTCCTACCGAGGCCAGCGTCCGGTCACTTACAGTGACCTCCGTCTTTTCTGTATAGAGTGCCGGTGGCACCGTCTGACTGTCTGCACTCTACGGGCGGACACTCCACCAGTGAAATTCCTAACCCTTGCTCAAATGTGCCAACCACCAAGTGTATCACCTTGTGCACATGTGTTAGCATATTTTCACAAATGTTTTTAAGGGTGTTAGCACTCCACTAGATCCTAAATGCATATGCAATGAGTTAGAGCATCTAGTAGCACTTTGATAACCGCATTTTGATACGAGTTTCACCCCTCTTAATAGTACGGCTATCGATCCTAAATATGATCACACTCACTAAATGTCTCGATCACCAAAACAAAATGGCTCCTACCATTTATACCTTTGCCTTGAGCATTTTGTTTTTCTCTTTCTTCTTTTCAAGTCCAAGCACTTGATCATCACCATGGCATCACCATCATCATGTCATGGTCTTCATTTGCTTCATCACTTGGAATGTGCTACCTATCTCATGATCAATTGATAAACTAGGTTAGCACTTAGGGTTTCATCAATTCACCAAAACCAAACTAGAGCTTTCAGTAGGGTACGGTCCTCGGTATTGCGGTTGACTTGAGAGCCCTGCCTTACTTGCTCCGCTTGATTCTTTGGGTCTTTACCGAGAGGGCGTCCCCGTTCGGTTGTTTCCTAGTCGACTCCGACCACGCCGGTCGGAGAAGAGCTGTAAGTAGAGGTTCGGTGTACTCCCGGTCGGAGAGGCGGGTCGGAGTTGGAAGCGAGCGTCGCCCCTCCTTCGGTAGGCCTTCTGGTCAGAGAGGCGGGTCGGAGTCAGAAGCGAGCGTCGTCCTCTCCTTGGCCAGGCCTTCCAGTCGGAGAAGCAGGTCAGAGTCGGAAGCAAGCGTCGCCCCTCCTTGGCTAGGCCTTTCGGTCGGAGAGGCGGGCCAGAGTCGGAAGCGAGCGTTGTCCTCTCCTTGGCCAGGCCTTCTGGTCGGAGAAGCGGGTCGGAGTCGGAAGTGAGGCCTTCCGGTTGGAGACTAGATCACTCTTTCGGCCTGCCGTTAGGTATCTGGGCCGGTCCAGGAGTTACACATCGTTCGTAACGTCGTCTGCTGGGCTGAGCTTTCGCTAGGAAGCAGGTCCATTACTGACCCTGGGTTTATGAACCTGACAGTTCTATTCATCCCAAATTGTAATTATTTTGACCTTTTTTAATAAGTACATAGGTTTTGTTACGGTGTGTTTGGTTGGTGGAGTCATCCCATACGTTATGAGGTGATGCCTCATGAGTTTATCCCATGAATTTTGGTGGAATTAACCCATTCCTCATCCATGTACTAATTATTAGCTTGTGAGGAATGAGGTGGTGATGGACCAACTCATTTCATTCCACAAACCAAATACAAAAAGTGAGGAGTGAGAAGAAGGTGAACCGCCTCACTTCTCAATCAAACACACCTATAGATCTACTCTATGCTATGTATCGATACATAACTTTTATTATGTATCTAGAAAAGCCAAAATGACTTATGGTTTGAAAGAGAGGGAGCAAAGAGTAATTTATGTTGGAATTATGTGATTCTTTGGCTCTGGGTCATTAGGAAGGGGTGTGGGGTCAAGTACCCTTACCCCCTTGGCCGAGTGGGTCGAGGGCGAACCCCTCTTCCGTGCGACGATCAGTAAAAAGGGTGGCCGAACAACGTTAGTAAAAGAGCGCTCACAGTAAAAAGGGTGGTCGACTTTTTCTCGGGCCAACGCACAACTAAGAAAACAAGCCACCCGATATTTCTCGGTTCTAAGAAGACGCTAGATCGACCCAAAGGCTGCCACCCTTCCTCTGTGACTCTAGGCACGACCAAGGTGATTGGCCAATGGTGCTGGCACCCTAAAGGAAGATGCTAAGCCGCCGTACCAAACTGCCAATGCTCACTTACATGAATTTTTCATATATTGGATGAATCAGAGGAAGAACAAAATTAAAGTGTCCTATACTTTTATTTATTGTGGTCTTCTCGCCTTGCTCGTGCTCGTGCTCCTAGGTGGCGGCTCCAACGCCGGCTTAACGAGCGAGTATGGTACCGGCGGAAGGTGGAGATGTCGCTGGAGGGCGACGTGTTCCGCGGGTCCCAAAGGATTACAATGCCCTGCTGAAGGCTTTGTTTGGCTACACACAAATCTACCACAATCCACATGGTTTGGGAGGGGTTGAGGTGTAATTTAGTTTAAATTCCACCTCAGTGCCTCCTAAACCACGTGGATTGGGATGTATTTGTGTGCAGCCAAACAAGCTTGGAGGATTGAATTTAGATTCTCCCCTTAATTTGTGATGCAGGATTAGTAAATACTGGGAGAAAAAAAAACTTAAGAAATATGCCAGCTTTGATTAGTAATTCTGTCTTCAATGCCGGTGCCCGGTGGCCCGACCGACTGTGCACATGGGCGACCAGGAGGGCACGGCCATGACGGCCAGGATCGTGTCGTGGGTGACGCCCAACGAGCTGGGCAGCAGCACCGTCATGTACGGCGAGGCAGCCTCGCCGTCTCGGGAAAACGCCCAGCTCTATACGTCGCACTATATACGAGACCAGCGGCGGCGACGCCACGTCGGCGACCTCCCCTACGCCGACAACCACCCGCTCCACGACCACGCCCGCTGGGGCACGTGGGCGCGCTTCGTGGAGCTTAGCGCGGCGCACCAGCCCTGGGTCCTGGCGGCGGGCAACCACGAGCTGTACTTCGCCCCGGAAGCTGGGCGAGCCCATGCCGTTCAAGCCCTTCGCCCACCGCCACCCAACGCCGCACCGCGCGCCGCCAGCAGCACGGCGCCGTTCTGGTACTCATCAGGTTGGCCTCCGCGCATGTCGTCGTGCTCAATCGCGTCCTACTCCGCCTACGCCGTACACGCCGCAGTGGGCGTGGCTGCGAGCGGAGCTGCCGCGCGTCGACCGGGACGCCACGCCGTGACCGCGCCCTGCTACAACAGCAACGCCTACCACTACACATGGAGCGCGACTGGAGAGCATGCGGCTGCAGTTCGAGCGCTGCCGGCTCGTCGACGCCAGCCGACCTCGTCCTCGTCCTCGCCGGCCACATCCACTCGTACGAGCGCAGCCACCGCGTGTCCAACGTCGCCTACGACGTCGTCAACGGCAGGTCCGCCCGTCGGGAACGTGGGCGCCTCGGTCTACGTCACCGTCGGTGACGGCGGCAACATCGACGGCGTCGCCGACAACTTCACGTACGCGCCCGCAGCCGAGCTACTTGGCGTTCAGTGAGGCTAGCTTATTCGGGCACGCCACCGTGGAGATCTTTTTTCGAAAGATCCACCCTGGAGATCAAGAACCGGACGCACGCGTACTTCGCGTGGCTCCACAACCACGACGGCGCCAAGGTCGTCGCCGACGCCGTCTGGCTCACCAACTGATAGGCATCATAGCGGGCTGCTGTATGTATGGCGATGCTCCGCGAAACTGAAACTTGCCCCACCTCTTCAATATATATGTTCCTTGCACAAAACGGGTAGAACGTCAGCACACAAGAGAGTTTACAAAACACCTAGCTAGATGACCAAGACCATGCAACAAGACAACAACCACTTCCATACAGACAGACCGAGGATCCCGGTGGACACGTACCTATGCCAAAAAGTGAATAAAAAATCAATAAAAAAGTAAGATGACCTAGAGCAGGTGAGGTGGCTTGACTCGTTTTTGGATTTACGACCGGTCAAGCCAACCTCAATTTTATTGTAATCGAAAAAATTAATAGAAAAAAAAGCGAATGTAAGACCTTGTAACATAGAACTGAGACCTTGAATGAAGCGGCGACCTAGATCGTGCCAGGGGCGAAATAGTTAGCGATATGATGATTTATGACTTATGAGTGTGAGAGTTTAGACGGTGTATCGAACAATTTATCTACCTTAATACAAAGACGCGCAAACTTTTCGTGTGATCTAGAATATTTTCTTCTATATCAATGAAATAGGCACAAGGCCATGACCGTTCGTAAAAAAATGAGACATTGGCTTTTGCAACATTAATAAAAGCAACTGATACGAGTGTGTTTGGTTGTTTGCCTTAGTGCCTAGCCAGGTTTCAGCGATACAGTTTAGGCCTGTTTGGTTGCCTGTACAGGCCATAGTCAGGCTCCAGCGAGCCAAAAAGAGGGTCCAGACCTGGCTTACTGGAAACGAGTGGGTGAGCGTTTCCAGCAAGCCAGCCTTGGCTCAGCTACCGTATGCATCTCCTCACCGCCCGAGCGCACGCACCTCCGCGTTCGCTCCCTAGCCACTGCCCTGCCTCCTCCGCGCTCGTCCTCCACGTCGGCGAGCCCTGCTCCACCACCACCTCACTAGATCCGCGCTCCTCTACCCCACCGCGGCCCGGTGAGCCCTGCCTCCTCCGCGCTTGTTCTTCACGCCGCTGGCTAACCGGCGAGCTCTGCTCCTCCACCACCACACCGGATCCGCTTGTCCTCCACGCCGTCGGCCAGCCGGAGAGCCCTGCTCCTCCACCGCAACACCAGATCTGCGCTCGTCCTCCACGTCGCCGGCCGGCCGACGAGCACTGCTCCTCCACCCCCACGCCGCATCCATGCTCGTCTCCACCTCCTCGTCCACCCCCTCCAGAAGATCTGGCGAGCCTGCTCCTCCTCCTCCCCCTCCAGAAGATCCCACCGGCTCGAACTCCGGCCGCGACCTCCCGATCCGTTGAGGACGGCACGACGCGCGAGCAATCGGAGCTCCACCTCGCCACCATGGGAGCTCCACCGCGTGAGCAACGCCAGCCACCATGGGCAGTCATGGGAGCTCCACCACGCGAGCGTCGCTGGCCACCATGGGAGCTCCACCGCCATGGATGCAACCTGGGAGCTCCACCGCGTCACCATGGGAGCTCCACCGCACGAGCATCGCCAGCCACCCTGGGCAGCCATGGGAGCTCCACCACGCGAGCAACCGGCCACGACCATGCCAGCAACAGGCCATGGCCATAGGAGCAACCTGGACGCAACCACAGATGATGCCCAGCAAGTGTTCGACAGAATGTGTGAGAGGGGGTAAACTTACCGTGTCAAAGATGAGGTGATTCTATACAAGCCAAGCTAGACAACCAAACACACCAATTCTTAGCCCGGCTTAGTCAGTACAGGCAACCAAACATATATGCGATGCTTGCATTGGCTAAAGCTAGATAGAACTAGCCAGTCTTAGTTTTGCTAGTCAGGCTTGTCTTGGAAACGAACCAAACACACCCCACATATCTCCTGGCAGAATTTTCTCTTTGTTGTCTTCCACTTTTTTTCAGCAAATCAAAAGTTGTCATGTCACATGTGACACAAAAAAAAAAGATAAAAGAAAAATACCACAGATAGGCGTCACATAACAGCTTCTAGAAGATTTTTATGTCTGTTATCTTCCACATTCAGGAAATCAAAATCTAGAGAATGACAAAAAAAAAGTGACAGCACATGTACAACACGTATCCAATATATAGAAATAATTTAAAGCAGAAAATCAAAATCTGGAATGACAAAAAAATGACAGCACATACACAACACGTATACAGCCAAATAGGAACAGCTTACAACAAAATAAAAATCTGGAATGAAAAAAAATAAAAAAATGACACCACACATGTACAATAAATAAATGGACAACAAAACAGGAGACTCGAGAGGCTCGGCTACTCACAGCCTGTTGTTCGGCCAGTCTCGATGTGACTGTGACGACCAGTCGACCACCGTCGAAGTCCGAAGAGGACAGGGACAGGTGCGCTGCAGTGTCAACTGGAACGGTGCCGAATGCCGCCCAACCCACCAACGACAACGGTAGGCAGTACAGGCGGAAGATTACAAGAAGCACATAATCGATCGTCAATAACGACGGCCGGGCACCAGCAGCACGTACGAAGCTAGTACGACGGCGTTCCATCGATTTGGCGAAACGACGGCGCAAACAACTCCGCCGGCGCCGACAACTCCGCCGCAACCAACTCCGCCGCCGATAGCACCACCGCCGCTGCGGATAGCTCCGTCGCCGCCGGCAACGCCGCAGCCGCCGTCGACACTTCTGGGAATACGAAATTCCAACCGAACCAGCGGGAGACACTTCAATGTGTCATAGGAAACGATAGCAGCACAACCTACGTGGCCAGGCAAAACAAAAGGCACAGGCCCATTGTAACTTAGGCAAGCCTATACACAAAAAAACACAAATCTTAATAAAGATCTAAATCACATAAATAGCTTGTTCGCTTGTTGGTTTTAGCTAAGGTATATCAGTCAGCCAACAGTATTTTCCTCTCACAACAATCCAGCACCAGCTGGACTTATCAGTCCAGAAACCAACCAGCGAACATGCCGAAAAATGGAAGACAGCAACACAAGAAATCTCCTGGGAGATATTTAGAAATTCTGCATATTTTTTCCTTCTTATTAATCGAAAATAAAAAAAAAACTTGGGAGTTTTTTTTTTCTGAACCGAGCACTCACAAGCTCCACCAAATTTGCATTCTAGTTCTAGGCCTAATTCAGATGCATTGTTTATTTGATTGGCCACATATACTCAGTTTCAGTTTCACACATCACATTTTTTTTTTCACATCACTGTTTGATTGGAAACTGACGCGCTTTCTGCAATCACATCGTCCACGAATTCTGCATATGTCATGGTCGAAACATATTGAATTGGTAGGTCGTTGAATATATGGAGCACATGCCAATGGACAGAACAAAGAAGAATGCACATCAAGTGGAATTGGCATCGGATCATCATCAAAAAATAATTGATAGGAAAGGTGATGCCGTTCTGCTCCCTTGGCATGCAATTGGGCCGTCAATACACAGTACCTACATGATGTTGACTCTGTGGCCCATTTCTACGTTAACGTTTTGCACTGTTCTTGAAGATCTTTTAGAGGGACCTTGAATACCATTGCAGCATGACAAAGGTTTAGGGTAAATAGTTTGTTCCTTCTCCTTTTGTTTCAGCATGAAAAAGAGGAAACTTAGGGCTTGTTTGGAACCATTATCACTAAAAATTTAGCTACCTAATTTTAACAGGTGACTGTTTGGATCCACCTACTAATAGGTGATCGGATGGTGGGTTGAAGATGGATATGAACTATTAGCATTTATTAGCAACTCTAAACCCCCTAATGGAACTAATAGTTAGCAACTCTCTAGCTAATAATTAGCAGGTCTGTTTGGATCCGCTGGTACTAATTTTAGCTGCTAATTTTTAGTACTAATGGATCCAAACATGCCCTTAGCTTGCTCCACAGCTATTGAATAGCTTCACAAATAGTAATACCGGGCTCTCATTTAATGAATGAACTAAAACCTAGAAGCATGGATGGTGAGATTATATTTGAGGGCAATGTAGCCCTGTGCCTAAGGCAATGTATTCCATGTTTGAGAAGTATAATATTTCAAAATAACACTAGTGGATGTTAGCAAAACAATCTCTACCTCGTTTTATGCATCTTGTGTGCCAGGACTTTTAGTAAATAAAATCTTCTCCATGCATACTTATGAACTTTTATAGTTGAATAAAGCATATATCCTTATCCCAATTTATACTAGGAGAACAACTCAACTTTTAGTATGATATGAAAGGATTTACATATACTCGATGTATAAGTTGTCCATAGTGTACATGTTCCTATGTAGGACAGTAGGAGCAGGTGATGAAGTCCTATATTCCCGTTGTTCTAAAATAGCTGCACATCTTAAGTTTGAGGAGTCAAACTTTTTCTAGTTTAACCAAGTATATATGGGGAGCCAAAATCAGAGCTAAAACACCAAACATGGAAGTTACTACGGGACCTAGCTATATGATCTACGATCCATGCTATGGCTGTGCATAGGGGATTTCAACAAAATTCTCCACCATCGTGAGAAGGAAGGTGGAGTGCCTCGCACACAGACATGTTTGGACAATTTCAAGCAAGCTTTGGAGGATTATGAGTTGCCAGACTTGGGTTTCACGTACTGGAAATATTTTCACTTGGCGCAACCATCATCATAATGGTGATGATTATATAAAGCAGTTGGATCGTGCAATAGCGAACGAGAGGGGTGGAGAGCTAGGTTCCCGTGTGTCTCCGTGCATAATGGTGATCCCTACCATTTTGATCATTGGCCTATCATCATCTCGACTGAATGGCCGAGGAACAGAAGGGTAGGGACAGGGGGAAACTGTTCCATTTCGAATCAAACTGGCTGGAGGAAGAGCAGCGTTGAGAGGTTGTGCGATCGTTTTCCTAGGAGAGCAGTGGCTGGGAGAGCGGAGTGAAGGTGATCGAAGCTTTAAAAGGAGTGGCATGCGGTCTGCAGGATTGGAGCTCTAACATCCTGGGCAACCTGGAAAATGGTTGAAGAAAGTGAAGGGAGATCTAGAATTTTGTAGAAGGAATAATATTTCTTAAGTGTTGCGGTTCAAGGTGGATAAATTAGAAGAGCAGATAGACACTTATTGGAAGCAGAGAGCGCATGTAAACTGGCTTATGAAAGGAGATAGAAACACCACTTTCTTCCATAATGCGTGCAAGGAGGGAAAGAGACATAATAGGATATATTGGCAGTTTGAGGAAGGAGTACGTGGGTTGGGTGGAGAGTGAAGTAGAGAAGCAGGGTTTTATCTCTAACCATTTTAAACAACTTTTCAGGTCTAACAGTCTTAATGATGCACGACAACTGCTTGATGTGGTTGCACTGTGTGTCACACGGGAGATGAATGAAACGGTTCTACCGGAGTTCAGGGAAGAAGAAGTTGTGGCGGCTTTGAATTCCATTGGTGATCTCAAGGCCCCAGGACCTGATGTTATGTTGTCCGCTTTTTATAAGAATTTTTTTTTGGGGCATTCAAGTGCTGCACATTCTGAATGGGGGGGGGGTGCCCAATGATTGAAACTAGGCGGTGATCTCTTTAGTCCCTAAGGTTGACGATCGACATATGCATGGAAAGATAATTTTATAAGCTAACCAATGACTTTAGTTTGACATCAAAATTTCACCGGAGTCAATAGTAATTGTCAAAATAAGTCAGCGTCCAGAATGCCAGGGTATTGTGTCACTATCTTTTGGTCTGTTGGCCCGTGTATCATCTTAGAGCCCATTAGAGGGGGCGCGTCCATAGGGTATCACACCCCAAATACTTTATAAATGAGTCTCAATCACCCAAGTTAGGTTTCAAAATTTTCTTTAGATCAATCTATCTTTGAATAGTCGTCGTCATCAGTTGTCAAAGCCAACTTCGAGTACTTAGTTATTAATTTACAATTGTCACTTCAATTGAGTTACATAGTTTCGGATTTCTTGCTTGTGTTCTTCATTTCACAGGCAGGTATTAGCCTTCTTACATTGCCGAGGTCAACCGGATTGTGACACGTTTGATAACCAGAGGAGACGTGGTGCTAAGGTTGCAAGGTGTGACTCTTTTGATCTGATGTCGGATTAGTGTATCAATCTCCACCTGATGGAAGATCGGGAACCCCGTCAGGTAGTATTGTTGCTCGTAGTAGATGCTCTCTAGGATAGCCGTAGTTTTAGTAGTTAAGTACGTAGCTTTAGGGAGTGTTCGGCTGGTGGTAAAGCCGCTGATGTTGATTTGTATGGCTGATTTTTTAGAGAGAAAAATACTATACCATGGCTTATAAACCAGCAAATAAGCTGGCTGAAACAACCAGCCGAACACTCCCTTAGTTGCTTAGCTTGTTTAGCTCTCTAGTGTAGCCTAATTTAGTTGATAGCCTTGTGTGGTTGTGTGCTCCAGTGGTAGAGTTTTTTTGCTACTATAACTAGAAGATGCATGTGTGTTATTGTGGAATTGTGAAAATTTTGGAATAGAATTATGTGGAGATTACTGTGAAAAATTTGGAATGAAATTATGTGGAGATGACATGGATAGCTTACATTAAGAAGTCGGAAGTTCGTGGGATGACATGCCTATTAGAGAGATGATATAGATAATTAGTAGGAGATGATGTGGATAATTAGTGGGAGATGATTTGGATGACTTGTATGTTAAGATACAACTTGTAGTAGGGATTAGCTTTATAAGACATATAGATTACGTAGAGGCTTCTATTGGATGAGATAGAGCTAGGCAAAGTAGTGTCACTAACTAATTTGCTCTAGCGTTTACGAGTTTATAGAGAAAATTTTTTATAGACTATTCGTTCTCTTCTAACTATTTAGATCCTTTTACCTAGTCTTGAGAGATGGGACAAGTTGTCCTCAAACGAGAACCAATCACGCTCAAGAGAAAACACCTTCCAACGGGGAACAGTGGAGGTCTTTGTTGTTGATAACGTAGTCGGCATTCTACCACGAGACGAGGCCTTAAATCGCAGGTCAAAAGTCTTTTCTAGACTCTACCGCCACTGTCTGGCCGGTTGCAAGAAAGCGTCCATATGAATCATGATCAACATTGAGCTTCTTTAGAGATAAAAAAAAAACATTGAGCTTCTTTGTCTTATCGACAGTTTCTAGTGTGTGCTTCATCGAAAATGTCGTGATGGTGACAGGAATTCATATATCTATATAGAGAGAGACCCTATACTTGGCGCGGTAGGTTTGTGTGATTTATATGCATGTTCGCTCGCTTCACTCACTTTCGTGTTTGGGGCAGGGCTTAATAATATCTAGCGGGCAGGCTCCGATCAAGAAGGATTGAAGGCATCAGCAGCAGCCTCCGATCCTTCAAGAATTTGGTCAGCCCACCGGCGATCTCTACTGTAAGCTTCCCTCGTCTTTCTTGTTTAAAAGTTGTGACTCAATATCTAATCATCAGGCGCGGACTTGGAAACTGATGAACCGCCTGCTGCTATATAGCGATCTGCGGCGTCCGTCCATGGCTTTGGCTGGAGTCGAGGAGGCGCTCGCGTCCGTAGTGCTCAAGGAGGTGCTGTGCAAGCTGGGATCCGCCATCGGGCAGCAGATCAAGGCGCGATGGAATCTGGAGCGAGACATGAAGGACATCACGAGCATGCTGGGGATAGTGAAAGCAGTACTGAGGGACGTCGAGAGGCGATCCGTCAGGGAGGAAGCGGTCAACCTTTGGCTTAAGATAAAGGACGCCGCCTATGAAATCTCCGACATGTTCGATGAATTTGAAGTCAAATTTACAAAGGTAAATCTTCTTCTGGATTGTGCCATAAAAGAAAGAAAAAAGCCCATTTCCCTCATAATAATATCCTATTTAGTGTCTTGATGAACTGCTGCAGCAATAATCCTGATAGATCTTCCCTCAAAAAATAATCCTGATAGATCCCTAAGTAGTACTAAATCTTACATCTATCTATATATCTATATATAGGTACACACATCACTAAACATCTTTATATAGCCTGTTCGGTTGGAAATTTATGATCGTACTCACACCAAAGTAGCCAGCTGTACTTCTCTACGATCCAGCCACGATCCAGCCCAGTCAACCGAACAGGCTGATAAAGTTAAGGTGCATATTTGGTAATTTGGATCCCATGCTAGTCCACCGTCGCCCTTCGCCGGTAAGATTTATCTAGGATAGCTTGCACTGGATCATTCATAAAAAGGAGCAGTCAAGCAGAGAGGACACACATTGGAAGAACTTCCACTTGTTCACTGTCATGATACACGAGTCCCTTTGATGGGTTTAATCGCGGTGAAAAATTATTTTATACCCATTGCTCTACAGAAGAAGAGAATATTAACGTTGCTCTACGGAAGAAGAGGATATTAAGAGCGTGTTTGGGATTACTCTGCTCCAGTTTTTGCAGCTCTGCTCCACCAACTTCACCATGGAGCAACTCTACTATGGAGTTTGTGGAGCATGTGGTATTATTTGGCACACAGCCTAGCTCCAGCTCCAGGAATGGGTTGATTCCATTTAAATGGTCTATTATTCCCCTAATTGATGTTTGTTGTATGTTTTGATGTCCCCGGGTCATATTTGTAAGTGAGTATTTTCCAAATGAAATCCGATGTAAAATATAAGAAATTGCACTTAATTTTTCCGAGAGTAGAAAACAAATATTTTGGTTAACTAACTCCATCCTTTTGTCCCATAAATTACAACATGAATGATAGAAGATTAAACAAAGGCCATAATTCAAATACAAATATTTGTCCATAGATAACCATAACAACTATGAATCCAAGTGTTCCAATAATTCTAGCTCCAAACAAAAGAAAGGGTGGTGGCCAACTCATCACGGTTTGCATCCATTGTAGAAGCGTTGGGTTCTGTAGTAGACCCATTTGATGGGGCTACAAATTTGGATGATTCCCCTTCCTAACCTATTCAGCCATCAACTCACAAACGATTGTCACATTTGAATCAGTCCATTCTATTTGATCACCCTGACCATATGTCACAATAATATTTCAAGCATTAATCAACAATCACAAGTGTTCAATCCACAAAGAGCAATCAATATCGTGCTTGTCCTTTTTCTTTGTTGGTGGTGCCCGCTTCCTTGTAGTGGCCACCATAGCGCTTGGCCGGCCGACAGCAGAGCCCTGGCCTCCGGTGCCCTGGCCACCAGCGCCTTGGTCGCCAGTGGCCACTGCCACTAGGCCGGTGTCTGGCCACTGGCTGGCCGAGCTAGCAAAAGGTCAGCCAGCGCGCAGCCCTGGTACCTCACCGTAGGCGGCACGCCATAGAACGCCGGCAGCGGCAAGATTTGAGGGGGACGAGGGAGGCTGACTCTAGGCGCTGGTGTCGAGGTAGGACGCCCGGAGTTGGGGAAGATGTGCTGCCCAAACACGACTTCGTCCGGAATGTGTCTGTCTGTGGCATCCGATCCATCCATGGCGCCGGCGGCCTTGCCTTGGAGTCGCATAAAGGAGGCGGCGCTAGGGAAAGAGGAGCGGCGGTGGAGAAGGAAACGTCGCGGGCATCACATGTACGGCGGAGGGAAGTCGAACGGATGGAAAAATGAACCGGTATAGGTCATTAATGAGTCACAAGGTGGGTAATTACCCCTCAACTCCATGTGGGAGTACAAAACTCCAAAACTGGATTACCCCTTGAGGTGCTTCAGAAAAAACATGAGCGGAGTCCATAGAGCTGAAGGTATTTGGCAACGTAGAACTGGAGCAGAGCGGCAAAAACGGGAGCAGAGCAGTCTCAAACACATCCTAACTGTCATGATACCACAGCAAAGGAGGCCCAATGATAGCAATATCAATTGGAATGCTAGGAATGCGTACCAATGTACTAAATTGGGGCGCGCTTGATTGCGGGTGCATAGGCCTACCACAGAGGAGGCCCAACATAGATGCTACGGTGCTGAGCCTGAAGAGAATTTCTTGCTTGTTGTTGTTTGTGTACATTCTTTTAAACCCCTACACACGTCCTATGTTCTTTATTCATCTGCTGACAAGCTGTTGCACTAGTTATTTAGGTACTTTATCTTTCCCCTTTGAATGATTTCATATTGAACAGGGGAAGATCTCTAGCTCCGTTGCCAAGCTTACTATGGGTAAAAAGCTGAAGAATATGAGAGAAAATTTAGCAAAGATAGAAGCACAGCAGACACAGTTTGCATTCAAGTTAGACGCCTGTTGGAAGGCAGAAAGATCAATAGAGCAACTATTGTTGGAAGGCAGAAAGAGAAGGACGACATTGTAACATTGCTAAAATCAGACGAGGAACAAGAAACACTGGTAATCCCTATCTTTGGGTTCGGGGGTATTGGTAAGACCACACTAGCTAAATTGGTTTTCAATGATGACCGGATGCAAGATTTCGATCTGCGAGTATGGGTTTATGTATCTCCTCATTTTGATTTGGAAATGATTGGCAAAAGTATAATATCACAATTCAAACAACCTGTTGAGGGTTTGGATGGTCTACAGTCTGTAAGTAATTGTCTAGAGGAGACATTGGGTGCCAGAAGTTGCTTGATTGTTTTGGACGATGTATGGGAGAGCAACTTCTTTCAGTTGAATAATTTAAGGCTGATGTTAAGTAACTTCAAAGAGAAAAGCAAGATTAGGATCATTGTAACAACACGAACTGAAGAAGTTGCAAGGAACATAGGCACTGTTACACCATACAAGCTGAAGCCATTGTCTGATGATCATTGCTGGACATTGTTCAAACATATGGCTTTTCAATCTGGTTTCTCCTGCAGAGAAGATAAAAATGCGTTGGACAAAATTGGGTGGGATATTGCAAAGAAGTGCCAAGGAGTGCCAATGGCAGTTCAAGCTGTTGGGTTTATGCTGCGCAACAAAAGTGTCGAGGAGTGGAGAAATGTGAGGGATAGTGATATTTGGGATGGCTCCTCAACCACCGATATGCTACCATCGCTGAAGCTTAGTTACTACCAGATGACTGATTACTTGAAGCTTTGCTTTTCCTATTGCTCAGTGTTTCCTAAAGGCTGTGAAATACATAGGGGTGATCTAATTCAGCAGTGGATATCTCTTGGATTCATTCCATCCAGCCCTGGAGAACACTTGACACTTGAGAAGATTGGGGAAAACTATGTGAACGAGCTACTAGGAATGTCCTTTCTCCAATACTCAAGGCCAACATCCTTGGTGAGTGATTAATAGTAGTATATACCTCACTACTCTTGGCATCCAAATCCTAACCATCCTTGGTGTGATTTCCTATTTTAAGTTATTTTTTAAAACATGCATACTACTTCCTCTAATTAATCATAAATATAAGTTTATTTGTACATCGACCCAGTCTCCAATGACTTTTTGGCTAGCAGTATCCATAAAAATAAATAATCTTAAATGGAAATAGTTATATACTACGAAAATATTTTTCATGATGAGTTTATGAGCCTCAACCTTGTGTTATCAATCAATGTGAAACTTTACAAATTGGTGAAAATTCAGAAAAAAAAGGAAAAACTAAAATAGACTTACATTTGCCGTCACAAGCAGTGCCAAGTAAAACTGTCCCGAGAATGGAGAGCAAAAATCAAACCTAAGCAAAAGTTCAGGTGGATATTTGCTAAAAAAGGGGGCTTATAGGAGAGATAATCGAACCTGGGTCTCTTGACCTTCGAAATTTAACTGGTATATGGACTAAAAATGCAGGGTGGCACTTTTTGGATTAGTTTAATTAATATAATCTATTTATTGCAGGTAACCAAGGAGGACACAAATAACTCTATGCTGCTTAGCATGCACGATTTAATTCATGATCTTGCTAGATCTGTTCTTGGAGATGAACTGCTTTTCGTGGATGGTAAAAAGGGATACACTTCTAGAAATGGCAATCACCGGTATGCATTAGCAGTCAATGGTACGAGACAAATAGATTTGTGTGATTATGTTCCTACCAAATTAAGATCTCTGCATATTTTTGACTCTGCGGAAATTCATCCGTCCTTATATAGTAAATCCTTGCGTGTCTTGGATTTAAGCATGTTTTCCAGTGGAAGCTTTCCAGCATCTATTGGTAAATTGAAGCAATTGAGGTACCTTGGTGCTCGTGGGATGCAACATGAATCAGTTCCTGAGGATGTCACTAGCCTTTCAAAGCTAATGTATTTGAACATAAGTGGTTCCTCCAAAATTTCAATGCTGCCCGACTCAGTTAAGGCACTTAGAAGCTTACTGCATCTAGACCTATCTGGGTCTTGTAACCTTTCTTCACTACCAGAATCATTCGGAGACCTGATAAACCTATCACATTTAAACCTTGCGAATTGTTCTTTACTCAAAGCTTTGCCCGAGTCAGTAAACAAACTCAGAAGCTTGCTACATCTAGACCTATCTGGGTGTTGTAACTTATATTCATTACCAGAATCATTCGGTGACCTGGAAAACCTCTCACATTTAAACCTTGCAAATTGTTCTCTATTCAAAGCTTTGCCCAAGTCAGTAAACAAACTCAGAAGCTTGGTACATCTAGACCTATCTGGGTGTTGTAACCTCTGTTCATTACCAGAATCATTCGGCGACCTGACAAACCTCACAGATTTGAACCTGGGGAATTGTATTCATCTCAATACTTTGCCAGATTCAGTAAACAAACTCAGAAACTTGTTTCGGCTGGACCTGTCAGGGTGCTGTAACCTGTGTTCACTGCCAGAATCATCAGATGACCTGATGAACCTCTCACATTTATACCTGGCAAATTGCTCACTACTCAAAACTTTGCCTGAGTCAGTGGACAAACTCAAAAGCTTGCTACATTTAGACCTAAGTGGTTGTAGTAGCCTCTGTTCGTTACCAGAGTCATTTGGTGATCTGATAAATCTATCACATTTGAATCTGGCAAAATGTACTGATCTTTGTTCTTTGCCCAAGTCTTTTGGAAGGCTATGTGAACTTCAGTATTTGAACCTGTCAGATTGCTTAAGACTTGATCTATGGTTTGATATTGACACTCTCTGTTGTCTTACTAAGCTACAGTATCTAAACCTGTCCCGTTGTCCAAGTCTCATGCATATACCTGAATCTATCAACAATCTAATAAATCTCCATACTTTAGATCTCTCGAGATGTCACTGGATCGAGAGATTTCCAGAAAGTCTATGCGGAATGGCCAGCCTCAAGTTTCTGCTAATACATGAGTGCAGACCATGGTTGCAACAGCGTGTCAGGGAGTCTCAGCTTAAGAATGATGTGCTAATGTTGCCCAAGTTTATTGTTCAAAGAACAGATTCAGGCACTTCCAGCAATATTTCACGCCTGCAATCTGTATATCCTGCAGAGCTTGAAATTGTATACCTTGAAAATGTGACAAGTATCGAAGAAGTGGATGCAGTAAATTTGGCAGGTAAGTCAATACTTTCCAAATTGGCATTGGCATGGACACCAGCAGCTGAACGCTTTCTGGAGGATGAGGCTTTGCTCCAAGGACTCCAGCCTCCCGAAAATGTCAGATAAATCAGTACTTGCTAAATTGGTGTTGGCATGGACGCCAGCAGTTGAATGTTTTGTAGAGGATGAATCTTTACTCCGAGAACTCCAGCCTCCCGAAAATGTCATGTTTTTAAAAGTACAAGGCTACATGGCAACTTCCTTTTCTGGATGGGTGATGAGCATGGAATCATGTCTACTGCATCTTGTTTGCATTGAGATGGTAGATTTGCCGAGATGTGAACATTTACCACCGTTTGGCCAATTAAAAAATCTACAGCAGTTGATTCTAAAGAGAATGCCTGTCTTAAAGAAACTGGGAACTGAAATTTGTGGGGGAAGTGGAGCATTTAAGAAATTAAAAGAGTTCACGTTGGAAAATTTTGATATCTTGGAGGAGTGGGTCACAAAGGTTCCAGCAAATGGTGAGTTCATGTTCCCCAGTCTTAACAAGTTGGAAATCTGTCACTGCCCCAAGCTAAGGTTGACACCATGCCTCCCTAGAGCATTTGAATGGAGAATTCAAGCGAGTGACGAAGTTATAGCAAGTCAATATGATGCAGGCTCATCATCCTCTTTGACTCTATCAAAACTGCATGTTACAAGCTGCCAGCTGCAACCCAACCAGTGGGCACTGCTCGGATTTCTCCCTGCTCTTGAGGTATTGGAAATTTCAAACTATCAACAGGGAAAATTGCCAGACAGCATCAGTTTCCTGGTATCACTGCGATCACTGAAAATAGAAGTGTCCACTGATGATCCAGAAGAACAATTCGATTGGTTACTATTTCTTTCTGCAATTTCTGGTGACCGGGAGGTTGTGATATTCCCGTTACCTCAACTTACTGCATTGGAGAATTTGGAAATAAGTTTTAATAATGAATTGCAAACATGGTGCAAGACACATGATAGGTGGACTTTGCAGAACGCCAAAAACGAGGTAACTTTTAGAGCAGTTTTTAGTATGCCCTCTTGCATTACCGTCCAGTCGCCACCACCGCACATTGCTTTAAAGTTCACGTTAATGTGGAATGTGTCAAGTATAATTGAATTGTCCACCCTTCTTCATCATTTTAAGCTTTTTGGTTGAACTTCTCAGGCTGTCGTGAATCTTGAAGTGTTAAGAACAGCGAAACACATATATAGAACATGCAACTACGCGCAATCATGCCCACTAGCATTTTTGCACACTAGAAATACTGGGTTAGCACATAAAAGGCTAGTCCCTGTGTACCAAAAAAACACATTTTAGGCATGAACACATTCTCCAAAATACAACTTTGATACTTTTTGTTACGATATATTTACAAACATAGCAACATTATATTATTTATGAAACTGTATTACGAGATAAGTATGCCTTTTCAGATATTGGAACTCAACTCATAGCAATTTCCAAACCATTGACATAGCAATTGACCAAATTGGCATAGGCATTGTCAAGCACGAATAAATTTTACATAGGCATTGTCAGACTAGATGAATAAAATTTACATAGCCATTGTCAGACCATCGACAACAAATTGACATAGTATTCACAACAAATTAATATAGCATCAAATTCATTTGAAATGCATTTGTCAATCAAAATGACAATCACTTTCACAACAAATTTACATAGCAATTTTGTTTTTATTTACCTTGTACTAGAGGAGAGAAATTTGGTAAGGGTCAGGGCTCGTGGTAGGGGCGGCCATCCAAAGGTGCTCGAGGCTGAGCTACCCACTACCTCCGATTGGTGTCACCACTGGCATCCCTATATATCCCTATTAGACGTTTTTGTTATCATTTATAGGTTTATTTAGATAAGAAACATATATTGATTTTTCTACTCCTATTGCTTATTTTTTTTTGAGCAGTGGGCAACTTTCTTTGAACGACACTTGGTCAGGATCGAACAGAAGAAAGAACAACCCCTGAGCAGGTACATCCTTCGGCTCAAGCAGCAAGCTGAAGCCCTCAGTGCCGTCGGGCAGACTCTTCGTGATAACGAAATCATCAGGTGCATCCTCCAGTGCAGCAGCAACAACATCAGCTTTGATGATAAGAAAGCCATCATGGACATCCTCTACCCCAATATGGAATATAGGAAAATCGACTTGGACGACTACGTCTTCGTTGGGTCACTCCCCCCAATTAACGGCCTAACGCTGAATGGTCTCTATGCTCGTCTTGTGGTTGGCAACGTTCGGCTGCAGCCGCTCGTCCCAATACTGCTGTCAGTCATAGCTGGGCTCATCGGCGCCGTCTGTCTCCTCTGCTACCGCCGTCTGTCTAGCTCACCGCCCTAGGCAAATGCTGCTTCAGCGCCATGTGAGGGACATGGCCATGCTGGGGCGATTGCAGCCAATGATTTCTTAGCTCAGCGCGATGTAGCAGTAGCAGCGAGCCATGGTTGCCACGGAATGACGGAATATTTCAAAAGGACTTGCAGATCGATACTGCGATTGATTGCCATGGTTGAGGAGCTGGACTGTGCCATGTGTGGCGTTTCGATTGGTGGAGGTGGTGGCTGTATTATTTCTTGTTTTACTCGGTATCTACTATATCAACGTATATGTAGAATTGTAGACACATGACCCTTTGGGTATTCACTTCTAGACTAGAAAGCATTGATGATACTTTCCTAATTTTATTTTCATTTATTTCCATCGGCACAACATCTTGACGTATCTTATTTGCAATGCATTGGTTCGCGGTTAGCAATTTCGTCTCTCTTTCCGTAACGAGACACAGTTTCCAAATTGACATTGGCATGGACACCAGCAGCTGAACGCTTTCTGGAGGATGAGGCTTTGCTCCAAGGACTCCAGCCTCCTGAAAATCTCATTCTTTATAAAAGTACAAGGCTACATGGCAACTTCCTTTTCTGGATGGATGATGTGTATGGAATCATGTCTACTGCATCTTGTTTGCATTGAGATGGTAGATTTACCGAGATGTGAACAACTACCGGTGTTTGGCCAATTACCAAATCTAGAGCGGTTGATTCTAAAGAGGATGCCAATCTTCAGGAAACTGGGAACTGAAATCTGTGGGGGAAGTGGAGCATTTAAGACACTAAAAGAGTTCACACTAGTAGATCTTGACACCTTAGAAGAGTGGATTACCAAGGTTCCACTGAGTGGTGAGTTCATGTTCCCCAGTCTTCACAAGTTAGATATCTGTGTAGGTGCCCTAAGTTAAGGTTGACACCATGCCTGCCTAGAGCAATTGAATGGAGAATCCAAGCGAGTGATGAAATTATAGCAAGTCAATATGATGCAGGATCACCATCCTCTTTCACACTATCAAAATTGCATGTTAAAAGCTGCCAGCTGCAACCCAACCAGTGGGCACTGCTCGGATTTCTCCCTGCTCTTGAGGTATTGGAAATTTCAAACTATGGACTGGGAAAATTGCCAGACGGCATCAGTTTCCTGGTATCACTCACTACGTGAAAAACAGTTTATAGCAACAGGGCTTTTTTTTAAGAGGCGGCTGGCAATGGAGCCGCCCCTACAGTGGTGTACTCGGGCTCCAGCATAGCAGCCGCCCCCTACAAATGGCATAGTAGGGGCGGTTGGTAATACAAGCCGCCCCTACAAATGAGTCGATTTGTAGGGGCGGCCGCCCCTGCTGTGTCCATTTGTAGGGGTGGCTGAATCACCAGCCGCCTCTACAAATGTCCGCTGTATATATAGCAGCCACCTCTAGCCCGAGCAAAAAAAAAGTTCCAACCCTAGCTCCCTCTCGCGCATCCACATCCGCCTCTCCCTCTCCCTCCTCTCTCGGCGGCGGCTCCCTCTCTCTCTTGTCTCCGCTCTCCTCCCTCCCTCTTCTCTTAGCGGCTCCGTCGTCCTCCCGTCGTCCCTCCCCTCCGCTGACGCGACGCCCACCTCGGCCCAAGGCTGGTTTCTGTCACAGAAGGATCGACCACGCGCCGCATGGATGCGAGACGAGACGAGACCAGTGACCACGCTGCTGCTCCCGCTCCGCTCCCAGATCCGCCACACATGCGAAGCGAGCCCCGAGGGAGTGACCATGGAGGAGCCCACGGAGACCAGGCCAGCCGGTGCGGAGGATCTCGCGAACGGCGCGTGAGAGCCGGAGGGGCCTCCGCCGGAGGTTGAGGAGGAGGATGTGGAGGAGGAGCCGCCGTGATCGGCGACGGCGAAGCAGGAGGAGGCGAAGGCGGCGATGGGGTCGGAGGGATCCCGTCCGTTCACCATGCGAGAGCTCCTCGGCGAGCTCAAGGAGGACGGCGGCAGCAGCGCGAGATCTGCGTTTGGCGATGGGAGCGGGGTCGGATCCGCTGATGCCGAGGGCTCGTCCTACAGGTTTGTGCTTATTCGCGTCATTTAGATCTCACTCCATGTACTGGATCACTGTGGCTTGGTTAGGTTTGTGGCATGACCGGATCCGTCGTCCACCCGTCGGATCTGCGCAGGATTCGCTGCACGGTCCTGTCTCTTCTCTCCTCTCCACGAAGGCGCAAGCGCAAAGGGGAGCAGCGCCGACTTTGCGATGCAGATCCTCCGGTGGAAGGTTCTGGAGGCTTGCCGCCGCCTCCCTCTCTTCTACACCGCGCACCACGGCCGGGCCCATGCGATGGCCACACTCGCGGGCGCTGCCGAGCGGTGGGCCCCGCCTGCCGCCTCAGGCTCACTTGCCGCTGCTCCGTGGGTTGCCACACAGCGCCGCGGCGCCAAGATGCTCGGCTCCGACGTACGTACGGATTCCCTTGCGACTCTCGACTTCCTCTAATTTTAGTGTCTCTGGTTTAGCTAGGGTTTAAATGGCTTGGTGCGGTGAGCTATTTTAGTTACACTTGTTCTATTTACTTCGCCACAGAAATGGTAAAGGTGACTTGCTCATCATTTGTATGTGCCAGGATTGGTTAGTTGTTCTTTTGTTTTTAGGAGAATTTATTCAGTTCAGGCTTCAGAAAGATGTTATATGGAACGTTATGCAGGGTATAACTAGGGCTTGGGAGTTTATTACAGTAGTCATCATCATACATCTATCGAGCTCACGCCGTGAGTTGAAATGTGCAAATTCTGTAATACATGATGCAGTAAAGGGCTGCGTTCTGAAGTATGTAAATCACTACAGCTAGAGCTAGCTGTTAGTAGGATGGCTTACAGCCATACCCAAGGGCAAAAAATGCTTGTGCAGAAATGGTCGTTTTATGTAATTACTAACATATGTCCTCTGTCTTTTCTGAAGCATTATTGAAAGGTCCTAATATGGCTAGAGTAGGGTGAATAGCCTATTTAAAATTCTACAAATCAACTAGAGCAATTTGATTAGTAAGACAAATAGCTTAATGCAAACTTGCTCTAGCTCTACAAGAGTTGCAAGCCACCTATCCAACAATTCTAGTTGCAATGATTAATTAGGCACACAAACTTGCTATGTGACTACTCACTAAGAGCTCTTAATCTTGCCACTCTAAAGAGCTCAACTAGATGAATGTATATAATAAAGCAAGCTCTCGATTCTAATTACACTAAAGAGCTTGTATCAACTAGTTTGCATGAATGTAAATAAGTGAGTAGGGTGACTATACCGCTGTGTAGGGGATGAACCAATCACAAGATGAGTGTAAAACCAATCACCGGGAGAAAGCCAAATGGCAAGAGACAACCGATTTTTCTTCCGAGGTTCACGTGCTTGCCAACACGCTAGTCCCCGTTGTGTCGACCAACACTTGGTGGTTCGGCGGCAAAGAGGTGTTTCACAAACCTCGTCCACACGATAGGACACCGCAAGAACCGACCCACAAGTGAGGTAACTCAATGACACGAGCAATTTACTATAGTTACCTTTCGGCACTCCGCCAGGGAAGGTACAACTCCCCTCACAATCACCAGAGATGGCCACGAACAATCACCAACTCGTGCCGATCCTCCACCGCTGCTCCAACCGTCTAGGTGGTGGCAACCACCAAGAGAAACAAGTGAAATCCGCAGCACAACACGAATACCAAGTGCCTCTAGATGCAATCACTCAAGCAATGCACTTGGATTCTCTCCCAATCTCACAATGATGATGGATCAATGATGGAGATGAGTGGGAGTGCTTTGGCTAAGCTCACAAGGTTGCTATGTCAATGAAAATGTACAAGTGTGTGAGCTTCAACCGGCCATGGGGCTTAAATAGAAGCCCTCATGAAATATAGTCGTTGACTCTTGGGCAGACTGCGCACCGACCGGACGTTGCACCGGACGCAGCACCAGATGCGCCGTTCGTGAATACCGGACGTGTCCGGTCACTATACCGAACACATCCGGTCGCTCCCAGACCGTCACGTGTCCCGTTCAAACCACAGTAGCCGTTGCAGCCCACACTACTGACGACCGGACGCTTGGTAAGAGATTGACCGGACGCTGAACCTCTGCGTCCGGTCGAGTACAGTAAGCAACCGAGGACGATCGGACGCGTCCGTTAGAAACTGACCGGACGCTGAGCCTCAGCGTCCGGTCGAGTACAGTAAGCATCCTCCATCGACCGGACGCGTCCGGTGACTCCGGACCGGACGCAGCCAGCGTCCGATCAACTGCTTCACGGAACATCGAATCTGCTGACTCACACCGGACGCGTCCGGTGTGGCGACCGGACACGTCCGGTCGCAGAGTTCGTCGTTAAATACCGGACGTTTCCGGTCACTATACCGGACGCATCCGATCAACTGAGATCTGCGCGACTAACTCCTTTTCTCCTCTAACTTCTTCACCCTTGCTCAAATGTGCTATCCACTAAGTGTAACACCTTGTGCACATATGTTAGCATATTTTCACAAACATTTTCAAGGGTGTTAGTGATCCACTAGATCCTAAATATATATGCAATGAGTTAGAACATCTAGTGACATTTTGACAACCGCATTTCGATACGAGTTCCACTCCTCTTAATAGTACGGTTATCTATCCTAAATGTGATCACACTCTCTAAGTGTCTTGATCACCAAAATAAAATGGCTCCTACATTTTATACCTTTGCCTTGAGCCTTTTGTTTTTCTCTTTCTTCTTTTCCAAGATTTAGCACTTGATCATCACCATGCCATCACCATTGTCATGATCTTCATCATTGCTTTATCTCTTGGAGTAGTGGTACCTATCTCAAGATCACTTTGATAAACTAGGTTAGCACTTAGGGTTTCATCAATTAACCAAAACCAAACTAGAGCTTTCAATCTCCCCCTTTTTGGTAATTGATGACAACCCTTCCATAAAGATATGAATTAAGTTTTAATTGAATCCATGTTGCTTGTCCAAGCATATTTACCATGTGTAAAGGATATGGACT